TGTCCATGTCCACCATTACCCGCCCAGATTCATGTTTTCTTCTGTCATAGTCTCTCTCTTCATGGCTGTTGCTCTAGGTGACACCCCCTTCCTCCATGTGCTGTCTAGAATAAAAACAGAAATTCCTGATACAGACACGACCGTATAATGAATGATGAAGGTTAAGTTGAAAGCCTATAATTGCCCCCCCCCCCCTTCTTTTTTTTTTTTTTTTTTTTTTTTTTTTTTTTTTTTTTTTTTGCTGTGTGAGACCTCGGCTCTCTCCTCCCCTCCCCCTCCCCCTCCCCCTCCCCACCCCTCGGACACCCCTACTCCACTCCTGCGGCATTTTCGTAGTATCACCAGCCATAAATATATTTTTTTGTAACGATAAACTTCCGTCATGTGTAAGATATAGATAGTAGAGTGCCTGTCTAAAGCTCAAAAAGTTTTATTCGGCGATTTTTTTTAAGATACAGTAGTAACTTAGGTGGCTTTCTTGTCCCTCTTTTCCCGCCGGCCAAAGTGTGCCTCTAGTACTGTCACTGAGGACATGCTCTCGACAACAACGGCCTTACTTACACGTCCTGAATGAATAACGGTTTTTCTGCTACATTTTATTGCGTTAGACTTTATGGTCCTGAACTTGTTTTAAGTAAAAATCGTTCTTGTGTGACTTTCTCTGTGGTAGGAACGAGGGAGGTAACCATGCTGTGTGTCCCTCCGAGTTGAGTGTAAATGAAACAGTGATCAGTTAGCCATGAATGCCCTGTCCTAACTGAAGCCCCTGGTCCCTCGTGTTCCCCGGATGGCAGGACTGGACGCTCCTCCTCGCCCTGGCTCCTGGCTCCCCGGTAGTGCGTGAGGCCTCTTGATCCGGTCCCTGCGAGTCTGGGGCTTAGAATCTTGGAATCTCTTGTAAGTCTGTTGAACTTCTCGGTTTTATCCTCTTGATTTCACGAGCCGTGCTGTCTGCCGCCTGGGGTATCTTCCTCTTAGGTCGCCTTCTCCCGGTGCCCCATGCCATACTTCTTTGACTGAGACGTCTTACGCTTAACACCTTCTTTAGCGCCTTCTAGAAACCGTTGGTTCTTTGTGCGCTGTTTGGTCCGGCGCCGGGAACACCCTGCCCTCGAGTACGTAGGCGAGGAAGGCTCCTCAGGTGGCGCGATGTGACTGAGGAAAGCTACTGAGGAGAGCCTGCAGGTGTGGCGGGGCGGGCACGGGCTCTTATGGTCCGGGCCGTCAAGCAACACGTTCCTGCTCCTCGACCACCCGTCTTTAAGGCGGTAACAGTGTGGTTTCCACAGTCGATAACCACGGGAGCGTCTACGGGGAGAGTCAGGCTCGGCGCCCTTACCATTCGACTGTGTCAGGCTGTGCTCTCGGCTTTCCCCCGCACTCGCAGTCAGTCTGCTCGGGCTTCTGGGCATCCACTTGTCGGGGCCCTGTCGGTGAGCCAGATCTCAGAGGATCACTCGGAGGCGTTTCACCCAGTTTGCCCCGCTCCTTGACTGTGGCATCCAGCTTTGCCCCGAACTTCCGCACTTCTATCACTCCAGCATTCACTTCCACTCGTAGACTATTGCTCCCAGTTCGCGCGGCCCTTTATAGGAACAGCAAGCCCAGATCGATGCCTCATTCCCAGGCTGGGACCAAGGTAGAACTCGCACAACAGGTTATGTGGAGCAGATCTGTGCCTCCTCCCAAGATTGGACAATCCTGAAGGTTCCTGATCCACCTGGTCGACCTCATTGTCTCCTCCTCCTCCTCCTCCCAGCTGGAGTAACAGGTAGTTAGCCTCGCCTCCCCCCCCCCATCCCCCCCGCAGCCTTGTTTTGGTCTCGCGGGAGATTCCAACTTGCCCTCAGCGCCCCCCTCTCCTCCCCTCCTCCTCCCCCGCGCCCCCCTCTGCAGACTCAACCTCCCCTCTAAGAGTCACTATGTTACCCTCCCCCCCACCCACACCCCAGCCTCCACCCCGCAGATCGATAGCAGCTCAGCCTGTCATCCACTGCCCATCATCCCCTGAAGTCCGCCTTACGGACGCCCTCCCCGATAAGTACCGCGTCTGACATCACCGCCGTCGTTGCTGACGCGCGACAGCCACCTCAGCTCAAAAGAGGGGTCTGGGGCAGGTCATCCAGCCCCCCCCCCTTCCCTCCCCTCCCCCCCATCCCCTACGTTCGCCCAACGGCCCTCCTCCAACTCCCCGCCCAGAGATCTCTCAGCCAGTCCCTAATCCTAAAACACGGAGGGCATCCGATGGGTCCTCTTGGCTTCACCTTCGAGTCACCTATATTCACTTCCCCTCTGACCTTTGACCTCCCGTTCCGTAAGATGACTGTGCCCCCCCGACATGCTTCCCAAATGCAATAACAAAGTGTCCCTTCCCCTCCCCCCCCTCGCCCCCTCGCCCCCGCCCCCCATCAAGAGCAACGCCCCTACACTCTCCTCTTCCCCCCCCCCCCCCCCAGCAAGAGCAACAAAACCCATACACTCTCCTCTCCCCCCCCCCCCCTCCAGCAAGAGCAACAAAACCCATACACTCTCCTTTCCCCCACGCCCCCCCCCCCCACCTCCAGCAAGAGCAACAAAACAACATACACTCCTCTTCCCCCACCCCCCCCCCCCTCCAGCAAGAGCAACACCCCTACACTCCCCCCCCCCCGCCCCCGCCCCCACCTCCACCAGGCACCCGCTGCGCTCTCTCTCTCCACCATCGCTCCTGATTTTTGTGCAACTCTTCTCCTCCAACCCGTCCAAGTTCGTGGTCTTCATTCGCCTCTTTCTCGATGCCCCCCCCCCCCCCCCCCCCCCCCCGTTCTCCTCGCGACACACTCTCCCCCAATATTTATCGCTCGAACCTCCCCCCCCCCCCCCCCCCTGGCTGGCTCTCGGCGCCCCCCTCCCACCCTCCACTCCCTCCCCCGTGCGCCAATTCTCTCTCCCTCTCTCTCTCTTCTCGCTGTCTCTTCGTCTCGCAATTCTCTTTATTCCGTTTTATGGTGTTTCTTGTTCTTCTTTCCTCCGTTTATTAGTCCTCGCCATTATTCTTCTTGTCTTCCCTTCCTCTTCCCCTTCTTCTTCGTCTTCTTCTTTCCTTTGTCTTCTTCATCTGCGTCTTCTTGTTTTGCGTCTTCTTCTTCTTCGTTTTCGTGTTGTTTGATTTACTTTATTATATAATATTGATTTTTGTTTTTATTTTTATATTTTTTGTTATTAATAATATAATTCATTATTGTTGTATTATTATTGTTATTCCTTAGTATTACTTAATTGTTATTATTATTATCAATTATTATTTTTTTAAATTATTATTTTTATAAGTATTATTTCAGTTATTATTTTTTTTCTTTTATTATTATTTATATTATTATTGATTACTATTATCATTATTGTTTAATTTTATTACCATTAATTATTAATTATTGTTTATTATCATTAATAATATATTGTTATTATTATTACTGTTAATCAGTAATTATTATTGGTATTATGATTTGTAATTTTTATTTTACTGTGTATTGATTATTATTATTGTTGGTGTTTTTTTTTTTTTCTTTCGCCTTTTTGTTTAATTGTCCACGTGTTATAAGATATTACTTTTTTTTTGATAAATAACTTCACGTTTAATTTCTCTTACTCTTTTTACTCCTCATTCATCCCTCCCTTTTCCCTCTTCACTTGTCTGTCTGTCCTGTCTCTCTCTCTCTCTCCAGTCTCTCCTCATCTTCTCTCTCTCTCTCATCTCGTCTCTCTCTCTCTCTCTCTACTCTCATCTCGTTCTCCTCTCTCCCATCGCTCTCTCTCTCCTCTTCCCCTTTTCCCGTCTTCTCTGTTCTGTCCTGTCTCTCTCTTTCCTCTTTCTATTCTCTTTCTCTTTTCTCTTTCCTCTTTCCTTCTCGCTCGATTCTCATCTGCTCTCTCTCTTCTGCTCCTCGTCTCTCTCTCTTCTCGTCTCTCTCTCTCTCTCGCTCTCTCACACCACACTCACACTTCCACACACAGCACACACACACACACTCTCACACACACACACACCACACACACAACACACACACACACACACACACACACACACACACACACACACACACACAGAGCGCGTACACACAAAACCTTACTTTCTGTCATCATTTCCTCTTTATCCCACCCAGCAACCACACCACACCGCACATCCCATTAGAAAAACTCACTCACGCAAAACTGATTACTATTAGCCTATTTCTTTACGGTATATAGATATATATATATATATATATATATATATATTATAGTATATATATATATGTATATGTATATATATATATGTATGTATGTAGTATATTGTTTGGGGGTTCGGTTTCTTGTTCCGGCGGTCCTGTGACACAGGACTCCTCGTAGCGATCGAGTACTCAATCAAATGACAACAAAAGACAACAACAAAATCTGCCCCAAGTGAATGGCGAGAGACCCTGACACAACCTCTGCATGTTTCCTTTAGTGTATCCCGGCCTCCCTTGCTTAGCCCCCACCCCCCTCCCCCCTCCCCTCCATCTCCCGCCCCCCTCCCTCCCTCCGCCCCAGGCCTTTCAAGATCGCATGTACCCCCCCCCCCCTTCGCCCCGCCCCACCAGGTGACTGCTGCAGGAGAGCGTAGGAGAGTCGAGCACGTGTTGCATGAGCGGCGTGTGATGAGTGAGCGGTGAGTAGGACCGCTGGGGTGAGGGGGAGGGGAGGGGAGGGCAGGGAGAGCCGAGGCCACCTGGAGCGGCCAAGGGACAAGCCGTCTCGGGCCCGGACCAAGAGGCGTCGCCGCCGGGGGTCGCCGCCGTAGGGCTGGCCAGGGCGTCTCGCGGGCAGGGAGGTCGGCAGGGTCGAGGAGGGGCTCACACTCGGCTATCTCCCTCACTGGTCACGCCCGCTGAATGTCCACAGCTCGACAGGACACGCTTATCGTACCCCGCCGACAGCGATGCAATTTTATTTCAATTTCTTACTTTATTTTATTTTTAGCTGTAGATTGGAGACAGGTGACAGTATGAGTGAGTATAGTGAGGGTGCGACCGGTGGAGGGTAGGCGACCACCACCGCGACGACACCCCCCCTTGGGCCGCCCTCAGTAACGCGCCTTTTGGCAGCTTGCAGAAGCAAGTGTCGATCATGAGCCTGAACCTGAACGCCAAGATCGATGAGATCCAGTGTCACCAGCACGCCGACACCAGCGCCGCCCTCCTCGCCATCAGGTGGGTCCGCTCGCACAGGGCGCGGCCGAGCTGCTTCCGCCAACGCCCTGGTCATCTCGTCATCACCCATTCCCCGTCATCACCCACCATTGCCCCATCAGAGCCACCCTCGGGGCTCTCTCGCCGTCATCCCCAACACTGCCCCAGCCGGCACTCGCCATCACGTTCCTCATCAGAATTCGCTGCCATCGAGTAGATAGTTCATCAGTTTTAATCTAAGCAGTCTAATCTCGAATCTCTCTTACTTAACGATTAGTGACTGCGCATATGATCGCCAGGTATCCTGTTTCCCTTGCAAGGATACGGTCACGTAGATGCAAATGTGTTGGATCCTTTTCCCTTTTGGCAATCTCTCTCCTGTCAGCCTCAGCAAGGACAGCCACTTTATTGGACACACCTATGATTACGGAACGAGGGAGAGAGAGAGAGAGAGTAATCTGTGTTGTCCTTTTTGTTTTGTAGATGTGATATAAATCAATCAAATAAATCCATTTTCGTCCTAGAAATAAAGTTCGTGATTCATTCAAGCAGATTCAGGATCAAAACACTGATTTTTAACAATCCTTAGACATGATTATGCACAAAACTCATTTTCATAAATCCCCTTTGGTATTTGAAAAAGAATTAGGGCTGTATTGCTAGTTGCTGTGTTGATGATGAAAGTGGAATTTCAGTGATCTTAATGCTGTTCTTTACCTCCGCACGGGTGTGCGCGTGTGCGTGCGCGCAGGTCGCAGCTGCAGGACCTGACGAAGAGCGTGGAGAGCTGCCAGAGCGAGGTGGTCGAGGTGAAGCGGGACATGGTGGCCATCAAGCACGAGATCGACACCCTCCAAGCCGCCAAGGAGGAGATCGAGGAGCTGCGAGACGCCGTCGACCGCCTCGAGGAACAGACCCGACGCAGGAAGATCCGCCTCCTGGAGCAGGTACCAGTCAGACCCCGTCTCCCCGTGCACCCCCCCCCCCTTTCCGTTCGAGTGCATCAGGCCCAGCAGCCACGCACGCGTCCCCAGCACAGGACGTGAGGGCGCCCCTTAGGTCCGCTGGACTGGCGATCCGCCTCTCCCGGGCTGGCGGGGGCGAGGGAAGATCGGCTCCTCCGGCCGCTTGAACATCTCCCGTTCCGGAGGAGAAGGGCGCGCGCGAGCGCACACACACACACACACACACACACACACACACACACACACACACACACACACACACACACACACACACACAACACACACACACACACACACACACACAGTACATATATTATATATACATATACATACATATATAATATATATATAGATATATATATATATATATACATATATATATTACATATATATATATATATATATATATATATATATATATATATATATATATATATATTTATTATGTATGTATATAAATACATATGTGTATGAATGTATCCTTTTCTTTTTCATTTATTTTATTCATATGTTCATGCCTATACCGACATACACACGGATAAACACATAAGCCAAAAGGGAAGGCCCGAGTGCGTGCGCGCGTGCGAGCCAGTGGCCCCCGGATCCTAGAGCGGGGGAGGGGGGGGCACCGATCACCCGCGCCCCATCTTTCAAGGTCGCGGCTGCAATCCCGCCGTCTTGAGGAGGATTTAAGACGCATCCCGGCGGGGTCCGGATGCGCGGGGGTCCGGTATGGATTGTCGTTTGTGGCCTTCGCCAGGTCCAGCCGGGGAAGATATATATAATATATATATATATATATATATATATATGTATATACGATACAGCATACATACATATATATATATGCACACCATATATATGCATGTACATAATACATTTATACGTACATAGATACATGCATACATTTTTACGTACACACACACACACACACACACACACACACACACACACACACACACACACACACACACACACACAACACACACAACACACACACACACACACACACACCACACACACACACACACACACACATATATATATATATATATTATATGTATGTATGTATATTATATATTTGTATGCCTACATATGATTCAAAACGGAATTCAAAGTTCTAGTCCCGGATATTTGCATTATTAACTTGTTCTGAACGACAACGAATGACGTCACGATTTAAGAGACGTAAACAAACGCTCGTCGACGCTGCATTTTCATCGGGATTCCATTCATACCTTCTCTGCCTTTTGTCGCGTTCGATTCTGTGTTTGTTTACCTTTTCCTCTATACGGTAAAAAAATATAAGCTCTTCGCCACGCGCTCCGGATAAACAAAAGAACGCCGATAAGTACATATGGCGGATCGGAATCTATTCATGGTGGATCGGAATCTATTCATGGCGGATCGGAATCTATTCCTCGGGAGATGTCTCATGCTAGTCGGAGGAGGGAAATACGATGAGAAAATTAGAATAATTATTTGAGTAAAAAAAAAGAAATTAGATCTGACGAAGAAGAAAAAAAAAAACGAAGAAAAATTAGCCAGATAATATTGACATGAAAATGGAAGCACAAAAGCCTTGCATGTTAGAGGAATCGAATCTCATTTTTAGAAGATTTTTATTTACTTTTTGGCTTCTCTCATCATGCTTTATTTTTTGAGAGATTACTGGATATTTTGAGTAATATTTTGAGTTTAGTTTGGATTAGGTTTGTACCGTTTGTTTCCTGAGGAAAGTTTTATTCAGTTTGTATGTTATTTCTATTTGATATATATATATATATATATATATATATATATATATATATATATATATATATATATATATATATATATCCACACATGAGTACGTACATATGTGCATCTGCTAATATGTATATATATGGAAATAAACATGTATTTATATTATATTATATGAGTATGTGTGTATACATACATATACTTTACAGATGTATATATATATATATATATATATATATATATATATATATATATATATATATATATATATATATATATATATATATATATATATATATATATACATATATATATATATGTATATATAGTATATATATATATATATATATATATATATATATATATATATATATATATATATATATATATATATATATATATATTTATATAATATATATATATAGTATGTATATATATATATATATATATATATATATATATATATATATATATATATATATATATATATATATATATCTTACAATTCAGTATCTCATGTCAAAGCTTCCTCTATGAATTATTGTACTCTGCATGGATTTGCTGTCAGTTATTATCATTATATGATTATCACTACTGCTTTTGTTATAATTATTATTTTGATAGAATTATCAGGGACTTTCTGTTACATACTGATAGTACAAAATTTTCTGCCTGTATTTTTATTGAATGTATCCTTATTTCAAGATGAATGTCTCTTGCAACTATTTCACATTCAGTGACTCTTATTAGTTCTTTAAATATTGTTAAAACTAGGTAGCATTTCTAAAATCTGATTCAAATGTTTAAAACTTTTGTTTCAAGTAGAACCTAACTTCTTTGTCGAACAGATTCAAATTCTCTGTGTTTTATTCATATCTGATAGATTTATTCCATGGTGACTTTCCCAATATAACTTAATCATGTTGATTTAATCCTCAAAATGTGTGAATATTGATGCCACAATATGAATTTTCATTTTGGAATGGTTGAATCCTTCTAGCTCAAGGTATGTGATATAAACATTGGTCGTAGCTTAGTATCAGTAAACCTGAGGTGACGCTTGCATGATTATATACATATAAAAATGCGACTTTAACCCCTACCGCCAGTTGGCATAGGATCTAAAACCTTCACATGCGACTGAACCTCTCCGACGTGCGACGTGTTGCCAGAGGGCGCGGCAGAATTGGAACCCCTTGCGTCACTTGGACAATTCTTTTGTATATACTTCCCCCTTTTTATCCAAATTTTCCACTTTCACGCGAGTCGGTCCTGTGTGTAGGACGCTTGGACCCTCCTTAGGCTCACACGGACTTTGTTTTGATATAGGCCTACTTGCAAGTTCCATAAGGTTTCATGTTTTGGATTTTCTTTTTTTTGTCAATTTTCGCGAACTGGTATTTTTCTGAACGAGACGGTACCTTTGTCTTTGAATTGTTCCCTGTGCTTTGGTAACACATGCCAGGAACAGCTTAATGTATATTCGGTATTCGGTATTTTTTTAAAACTAATTTATTCTTATACATTTGTTGTTCACATATTTCCTAAGAGGCCAAAGTAGATACAAATAATAGAATTGTCCTCATAATCACTGTCCAGAGTGCATAACTTCCCTCCCCCCAAATATGGCTAAAGTAAACAAAGCGACGAATAACACCCATGCCTTTAATTTCTCCCTAAATATCGAATGCCAGCGAAAGAAGTGTGACTAGAGAGACGGTCCTCCATCACAGCTGCGAGCGGGTTGGCGTCCTAGCTCATGTTTATATTGCTCAGATGTTGAATAGAAGGATTCACTCTTCCAGACTCTGCCACGCTGCAGCTGCTGCCTGTGGAAGGCTAATGCTGCTGTTGTATACTTTCCCGTTGAATTTACTTCCCTCCTCCCCTTTTTCCTACTCTTTTTTGTTGCTTTGTTGTATTTCGTTGGTGCATGTTTATGTTATTTTTGTTTTGAATAAAATTTTGTATTTATATGCATGACTTTTTGTTTATTCTCTACCTATAAACTGCCGAATCACGCAACCGAGGATGACAACGATATTTCGCGGTAATTTTGTTGCACCGCGCGCCGGGGAAGAGGATTTCCCCAAACCATTTTGTTTTCCTTTGCATTCGAGTAAGAATCGATGGCTATGGTAGTGGAAGGAAGGATGCAGTTGAGTGCATCTACTTCCTTTTTTTTTATTATTATACATTGATGTAAGGGGTTTGGGTCTTATTGTATGTTAAGAAGTGTAATGCTGTAAATGCGGGTATACTCTTCATTTGAGTTGTATTCCCTTCTCTAGAAAATACGGTTTCTATAGTGCTTTGATTTTTAACTTATGACTAAGAAGGAAAAACAATATATCGACGAATTGGCATTGTTTGAGAAGAAATTGGCGTCCTTTTTGCAGGATAGCAGAGTCTACCCTGTAGGTTGGTACATTTTCTTTAGCTGCGATCCGGCCGCTTACCCGCTAGTAAAGACCGCCATCTTCTGAGCTTGGGAGCCACTTGTGCGAAAAGTTTTAAGTGCTGGGAGCTATGCTATGTCATCATTCACGACATTGGTAAATCCCAAAACTATTAAAAGTTAACTCAGTTGTGCCGGTCGTGTGTGACCGTTTAGACTAGCATCGGAATCGGATATCTTTAATCAGAAATGTATTGGACTTATTTTAGAGTAATTACAATTCAGCCGTTGGTTATGCTAGTTTATTTTCTTTAGTCTCTGTCAGTGTTTGAAGGCTTGATGCTACATTGGTGTCTTTTTGCGGAAATTCCCTTGTGAACCTGGCATTTCCACGTGTGTACGAATGAAAACGATAAATACAATCTACAGTTTAATATTTGCATAAATCTATAGTAAAATGTTACCCTGTTGAGCAAACTCGAATATTAAAGCTGCAACCTGTATACGGACTAGTAATTCTCGGGTTTGGACTTTGTAAAAGAAAACGTACACGTCGCCGACTTCCACAGAAAACTGGAAAGTGTTAGAGGATGGGATACTAATATAAAACTGTATATGCTCTTATTCACACACTATTTTTTATTGTTGCACATACTTACAGTTGTATTTGTTGTCGTTTAATATTTAAAATAATGCTGATTAATAATGCCAATGTCGATGTCGCTGTTGATGTTGCTGACTTTGAGAAATATAATTCCATTTTCATATCACTGTTGTATTTGATGTTTTTTGATGTTGTGAATGTAGATTTTATTGTTATTGGTGATATTATTGTTGACGAATCTTAAATGACTTTCTAAATAGAGATATCAATGCAATGTTATTAAAGTATTATTTTTATTATGTTTATGTACGTTTCTTGTATTGATGCCCTAATCATTATCATTATTATTATTAGCATTATCGTTATTGTAGTTATTATTATTATTATCATTTTTATTGTTATTGTTATTATTATCATCATTATCATCATTGTTATTATTATTTTTGTTATTATTATTATTGCTACTATCACTGCCATTGTTATAATCATAATTACTGTTATTATTATTATTATTATTATATTAATTATTATTACTGCTGTTATAACTAATATTATCATCATTATTATTATCCTCATTGCCGTCATCATTATTACAATTGTTACTGTTATTATTATTATTATTATTATTATTATTATTATTATTATTATTATTATTATTATTATTATTATTATTATTGTTATTGTTATTGTTACCATAATGCCTAGAACTTCTCGATCATTGCAGATAATAAGTACATAGCTATCTCTATCTCTACTGAGTGGGTTCTAATTAAACATTCATTATGGTTAGAATCCTCACATACATAGGATATATATCATTGGTTAATATTTTATACTTTTATTATTGAGAAACCTCCCTACTACTAACTCTTTCTCATCTTACACATTTTATAGAGATTTCCCTCCCTTTCTCATCCAGCACATTTTTATTTTTTCTCATCTAGCACATATTCTGGAGATCTCCCCCTCCTTTCTCATCTAGCACATATTCTGGAGATCTCCCCCTCCTTTCCCATCTAGCACATATTCTGGAGATCTCTCTTTCCTTTTTCTCATATTCAGGTGTATTTACCTGAATTTAGAATTATACTCACTGCTGTGCACTGCTTGTGAAAAAGGACGCATGGTAAGTCAGATTAAAAGAATTCTGTTTCTTATATGTATTGGCAGAAAGGGTTAGGCCGTTGTTGAACACTATTTTTAGCTTATTTTCTAAAAGGAAATTTAAATGAAACTATTTTTGATATATATGCTTTGTGTCTACGTGTATGGACATTTACGTGCGTTTGTGTGTGTGTGTGAGTCTGTATGTGGTGTGTGAGACTGTATGTGTGTGTGTGTGTGTGTGTGTGTTGTGTGTGTGTGTGTGTGTGTGTGTGAGAGAGAGAGAGAGAGAGAAAGAGAGAGATTCTGTATGTGTGTGTGCGTGTGTGTGTGTGTGTGTGTGTGTCTGTATGTGTCGTGTGTGTGTGTGTCTATGTGTGGTGTGTCTTTAATGAATGATCCTATAATATACCACATATATATTTTCTCACCTTTTGCAAGTACATATGCCGATAAGGTCGCAATTCGAAGACGCCGGAAGTATAAATTCACCCGCGTGAGATTGAGGTTAACCGCGCCGCCTCATGTGTCTCGCTGATCGGGCGTGTGACAATAATTACGCGGCAGGGCGAAGGTGCAAATATCTGCTCGGTGGAACCATTCCCCACGAGCCGAGGAAGGGAGGGAGAGAGAGGAGAGAGAGAAGAGAGGGGAGAGGGAGAGGGGAGGGAGAGGAGAGAGAGAGGAGAGAGGGAGAGAGAGAGAGAGAGAGAGAGAAGAGAGAGGAGAAGAGAGAGAGAGGGAAGCAGGAGAGAGAGAGAGGCTGAGGGAGAGAAGGGAGAAGGGAGGGGAGGGGGGGAGGGAAGGTGGATGGGAGGTGTGAGAGGGAGGCTTGCGGCTCGGTGAAACCATTCCCTCCACGAGCACGAGATAGGGTAGAGGGAGAGGGGTGAGGGAGGGAGCAGGATCAGGAGAGGGGAGGAGGTGGAGAGGGGGGGAGTGGGGGAGGAGCGCTGAGGGAGAGGGAGAGACGAGAGAGAAGTGGGGGTGGAGCCGAAGGAACCAATCACGGGTGGGAGGGGCCTCGGGACGAGGTGAGAGATGAATGAGATGTGTGAACTCGAGAGTAAGGGAGGCAATCGCAGTTTTTAGGGCAGGTCTTGATATGTGCCGGAGAGAGGGATAGTCAGATCGGGGGATGTAGGAGGAAGGAGGAGAGTGTGGGTTAGAGTTGACTTTCGACGATATGACTGGGGTGCTGATGCTATATTATTCGATGCAAGAGGACAAGGAGGTGAAAAAGTAGCTGGGTCTTGCGTACTGGTGAGAAGGGTGACCGAAAGTGTAACGGGAAAGAGGAGAAGGAAAGCTGCTGTTGCTAAAATGAGTCCGAGTCATATCGCTGGACATAGTAGAGAGACTCGAAGATCTGGATGAAAGAGCGGGATGCGGCAGGCCAGTGTAACTGCGGAAGATGGATAGCTGATTGCTTCGCTGAGAAAGGGGTTCGTATTGTAGAGAGGAAGGAGACAAGAAAGGGCGTTGGGATATCATAAATGTAGAAATCTTCGGCAAAATATTGCTGGCATGTTTTCTGAACACCCAGGACAAGGGAAATAGTCTTAATATAAAAAGTGAGCTTGTGATATGTTGATGCGTGCTTGGTGATTTGGGAAGGATAACAAAGGTTATCAGGCGATTCTTTTGTGTGCATAAGTGTCTTTGCTTACATTGGTGCATCTGTCCTGATTCTCTCCGGGATAAGAACAGTTTGCATTGTGTTGGACGTCGGTAGCATATATGTGTGGATTTTAGAATGGTAGATAGGAGCTGTGCGCTATCTTCGTTGATAACCATGCTGTGAGCAGAGTAAATACTTCGTTGGATGCGGTTGCGAGAGCGGCCTTGTGCGTGTACGTCCCAGTGAGTGCATTGAGTGGAGGCTCCATTCGCGTAGACACTGCGCTTATCAGAGAGAGTCAGGATCGTGCGAGAGTAATTTGTGGATGCGCAGGGGTGAGGATGGGCTTGGGGTTGGTGTGTGCGGTGAGGGATCAGATATTGGCGAAATGTGTTTGAGAGGGCGTGGTCAATGCGGTGAGTGCGTATTCGGGTTGTTGTGTAAGGTTGGAGTCTATGCGGGCCTCGTCAACGCGTCAGCGGTCCGCAACTACGAGATCGGCATCTACCGGGCCGGCCCCGGGTGGGTCCGCTGCTTCTGACGTTCATGGCGCATATGTGTCCAGGGTTACAGGAAAACAAGCTGGATAACTTCACTATTAAGGAAACTTTATTATGCAAAAATAATTCAATGTTGGGATGGGATAATAGATTGGCTTCTTCTTCTCAGTGAATGATTATGTATCTAATCGACTCGAAAGTCCGCAACCGTATAGGCAATGTAATATCCCACTACTTTTATTGTCCTTGATACCGTCTACCCCGGCTCTCCCCGCTGGCACTCCACAGACGCCCACCACTACTACCCAACCCAGACCTGCACTGTATAAGACAGAAAGTGCTATGCGATTCAACTCTAAAGACGTCAGGGCAATGAAGAGTGGCATAATATTGGGTGAGTGGATAAATCAGTGTCCGTTTACAATTGATCATGGATAACGGTCTCGTTTAATGGTGTCAGGAGTAGCGAGTCTTAGAGTGAATCATACGGGCGCCTCCTCCCCTCCCTCCCTCCCCGAAAAAAAAGTTCCCCAATCTATTTTTGAAACCGGACATGCGATCTGTGTGGGCAGGTCTTCATTAGTTTGTTAGAGTTGGGGGAGTAAAAGTTCCCCGC